GTGGACAGGTGTCTTTTATACAGGTAATGAGTTCAAACAGGTGCAGTTAATACAGGTAATGAGTGGAGAACAGGAGGGCTTCTTAAAGAAAACCTAACAGGTCTGTGAGAGCCGGAATTCTTACTGGTTGGTAGGTGATCAAATACTTATGTCATGCAATAAAATGCAAATTAATTACTTAAAAATCATACAATGTGTTTTTCTGGATTTTTGTTTTAGATTCCGTCTCTCACAGTTGAAGTGTACCTTTGATAAAAATGACAGACCTCTACATGCTTTGTAAGTCGGAAAACCTGCAAAATCGGCAGTGTATCAAAAACTTGTTCTCCCCACTGTATACTGAGATCATGTGACAGATCATGTGACACTTAGATTGCACACAGGTGGACTTTATATAACTAATTGTCACGATCGTCGTAGGGAACAGACCAAGGCGCAGCGTGATGAACGAACATGTTTAAACTTTATTATCTTTAGTGATAATAGACAACAATAAACAAAACAAGAAACGACTCGTGAAGTCCACGGTAACAATGACCAACACGGAACAAGAACCCACAAACACAAAGGGAAAACAGATAGTTTAAATATGGCTCCCAATCAGAGACAACCAACGACAGCTGACACTCGTTGCCTCTGATTGGGAGTCACTCTGGCCAACATAGAAATAAACACAACAGAAAGAACACACCCTGGCTCAACATATAGAGTCCCAGAGCCAGGGTGTGACAGTACCCCCCCCTAAAGGCGCGGACTGCGACCGCGCCTCAACTTGAACAAAACAGGGGAGGGCTGGGTGGGCATTCCTCCTCGGCGGCGGTTCTGGCTCCGGCCTTGCCCACCACCCTCCAATAAACCCCCCATAGCGCCCCTGGTCCAGTCTGGCCCCGCTGGCTGGAGCGGAACTGGACGCAGCAGGAGCAGTTAGCTTCAGCTCCGTAGTGGAGCAGTGGACCGGTACCTTACCAGGCACCGGTGACCCAGGCACGGGTTGTGCTGGACTGACGACGCGCACCCCTGGCTTGGTGCGTGGAGGAGGAACGGGCCTTACCAGGCTGACGACTCGCACCCCTGGCTTAGTGCGAGTAGCAGGAACAGGCCGGGCCGGGCTGGCGACGCGCACCCCTGGCTTGGTGCGTGGAGCCGGAACGGGCCGGACCGGGCTGACGATGCGCACCCCTGGCTTGGTGCGTGGAGTAGGAACAGGCCGGACCGGGCTGACGACTCGCACCCCTGGCTTGGTGCGTGGAGTAGGGACAGGCCGGACCGGGCTGGCGACGCACACCGTAGGCTTGGTGCGTGGAGCAGGGACAGGCCGGACCGGGCTGGCGACGCACACCGTAGGCTTGGTGCGTGGAGCAGGGACAGGCCGGACCGGGCTGGCGACGCACACCGTAGGCTTGGTGCGAGGAGCAGGGACAGGCCGGACCGGGCTGGCGACGCACACCGTAGGCTTGGTGCGTGGAGCAGGGACAGGCCGGACCGGGCTGGCGACGCACACCGTAGGCTTGGTGCGTGGAGCAGGGACAGGCCGGACTGGGCTGGCGACGCACACCGTAGGCTTGGTGCGAGGAGCAGGGACAGGCCGGACCGGGCTGGCGACGCACACCGTAGGCTTGGTGCGTGGAGCAGGGACAGGCCGGACCGGGCTGGCGACGCACACCGTCCATTTGGTGCGAGGGGCCGTAACAGGCCGGACCGTACTGGGGACACACACCACTGGCTCTACTTTGACCAGTGGCCCCCGTAACCTGGTGGCCTTCTGAATACGCCCCTTCTCTGCCTCCGTCAGCCCCGTCGTCCATGCCCTGTGCCCCCCCCTAAAAATTATTTGGGGTTGCCTCTCGACCGTCCGACGACGACCCTGATCACGCCGTTGCTCCTCTCTCCGTCGCCTCTCTACAGTCTCACTCCATGGCCGGCGATCCATCCCGGCCAGGATTTCCTCCCAGGTCCAGGACCCCTGCCCGTCCAAAATCTGCTCCCACGTCCAGGCTGCCTGCTCCTGGACACGCTGCTTGGTCCTTTTATGGTGGGTTCTTCTGTCACGATCGTCGTAGGGAACAGACCAAGGCGCAGCGTGATGAACGAACATGTTTAAACTTTATTATCTTTAGTGATAATAGACAACAATAAACAAAACAAGAAACGACTCGTGAAGTCCACGGTAACAATGACCAACACGGAACAAGAACCCACAAACACAAAGGGAAAACAGATAGTTTAAATATGGCTCCCAATCAGAGACAACCAACGACAGCTGACACTCGTTGCCTCTGATTGGGAGTCACTCTGGCCAACATAGAAATAAACACAACAGAAAGAACACACCCTGGCTCAACATATAGAGTCCCAGAGCCAGGGTGTGACACTAATTATGTGACTTCTGAAGGTAATTGGTTGCACCAGATCTTATTTAGGGGCTTCATAGCAAAGGGGGTGAATATATATGCACGCACCACTTTTCCATTATCTGTTTTTTTGAATTATTTGAAACAAGTTATTTTTTTAATTTCACTTCACCAATTTGGACTATTTTGTGTATGTCCATTACATCAAATCCAAATAAAAATCCATTTAAATTACAGGTTGTAATACAACAAAATAGGAAAATATGCCAAGGGGGATGAATACTTTTGCAAGGCACAGTAGCTGTAATCACTGCCAAAAGTGATTCTAACATGTACTGAGTCAGGGGTGTGAATACTTATTTAAATGACACATTTCTGTATTTCATTTTCAATAAATTTGCGAAGATTTCTAAAAACATGTTTTAACTTTGTCATTATGGGGTATTGTATGTAGATGGGTGAGATTTTTTATTTATTTAATCCATTTTGAATTCTGGCTGTAACACAGCAAAATGTGGAATAAGTCAAGGGGTATGAATAATTTCTGAAGGCACTGTACAACACAACACAACAGTAGCTAAATTGAATGGATGTCCTGTTATGATGAAAATCATTGTGGGAAGTTATATCAAGAGGCATTCAGCCATGGCATTGTAAACATTATTTTGGTTAGCTAACATTAGTATAACTAGCTAGCTACTTCTGGAACTCACCACTCGAATCACAGAGAATTCAGTTAAAAAACATGCCTGTCTCAATATAATCTTAGAGGTTCTGCAACTCTGCTGAATAAACGTTGGTTTAGCTTTGGTTCTCTTTTCTTGAAAATGTTGAAATATGTATCGCCCCAGTTGACCGATATCCAGGAATGTCAGTCAAAAAAGAGGAAGGTGAAGGGACAGATACAGTATAACCTTTACCAACTGAGAGGGATGAACTGAAAAGTACTGATGCTATGGAGAATATTTATGCTAATGTTAATGCTGACAATGTGGCAGGAAGGCAACAATTTGGTAAGATAAAAATACAGCACACACATCTTTCACAACCTGCTAAGCTGTATCACAGTAAGCTGTAAATCATGTTTTTGATCCTCAGCTAAGAGTAACCTCCTCAGAGGTGCTGTAGTGTGTCTGGGGCTGCTGTGTGTTCTTCTACTGGCTGGGATCATAGGCCTTTGTGTCCACTGTGAGTTTACCCAGTTTTATATCATTGATAGTCAGGTTGTTTTAGTGTGAGTATTTTGGTCATTGCTTTTTATGTTTCTTTGCAGACAACAGAGTGGCAGGTAACTTTGAGGAAGAGCAGACTAAGTTATTGAGAGAGACAGACCAGCTACAGACGAAGAAAGACCAGCTACAGACAGAGAGAGACCAGCTACAGGGGGAGAGAGACAAGCTACAGGGGGAGAGAGATAACCTTCTAAATAAATTCTCGTTTATGGGTGAGTGAGTTATCCTTATCTGACTACACCATTTTGACTGGCTGGAATTCAATCACACCCACCATAACCATCTTGATGTTTCGTAATTATTATTGTCATTGTTAGTGTTATTGGGTCCATGGGTATATGAGTATAAAGCTGCTGCTTTCACGTGTTCTCCTTTGCTCTTCAACAGAGCAACATTTAAAAAAGGGATGGAGTCATTTTGGATTGGCCATTTTTACCTCTTCTCCACTGAGATGAAAACCTGGGAGCAGAGCAAACAGGACTGTCTAAGTAGAGGAGCAAACCTGGTGATCATAAATAGCAAGAGAACAGTGGAGAGAGAGAGAGAGTAGAGATAGAGAGAGAGAGATAGAGAGGATAGATAGAGAGACTAGAGATAGAATAAGAGAGAGAGAGAGAGAAGAGAGAGCGCCGCTCTGAGCGCTTTCTGTTTGGAGCCCGTGGACCTCAGGAATGAGTGAGGGGAACTAGCGTCGTGCCTCCTACCCGATGGAGGGGAACGGTAAATGGATAGTAGTAGTAGCAGCAGTCGAAATGGTGGTGTTGTTGTTATTGGTTGGGACAGTAGTTTTGGTTGGTTTTTCTGGGGGGTTTCTTTGACTTATTTCTAGTATTATCCACTATGTTTGCTGCAGGTAGAAAATCCTAGGAAATGTTCTTTAATTGGCACAAGCTGTCTCCAATCAATCAATCAATGTCTGGTCGTTCGTGACTGTTTGGTGGGGGGATCACCTAAGCCTGGGAAGGCCTAGCTCTACACATTTTTATTGCACAAAGCCTATTATTTGGCACGGAATAATATTTCTAGATCAGTGATTCTACACCTCACTTTGCTCAAGCTGATCCTCTCCAACGAACTAGGGGCAGTTTAACAGGAGAGTCAATGAAACCAACCATGGAAGTATGTTGTAGCGATTTCAGAGGGTAGCCCCAACCAGGACTCAAACCCATGTCTAGTGACTTTTAAGGTTTAGGATTAGGTGATCCCCCCACCAAACACTCAAGCTTGTGTCATTTAAATAACATTCCCTAGGATTTTCTACCTGCAGCAACCCTAGTGGATAATGCTGGAAATATTGATGAAAGAAAACCCCCAGAAAACCAACCAAAACAACTGGCCACTAGGGTTGCTGCAGGTAGAAATTGATGAAGGATTCAGTGAGTTTTGTTGACATTAAATGTCTGTGCCAATACTTTAGAATTTTATCAATGGATTCAATGGGATGTTCTGGATTGGTCTGACTGACAGAGAGACAGAGGGGTCATGGAAATGGGTGGATGGAACACCACTGACCATACAGTAAGACATTTAAATATTCTGATGTCCCATAATAACTGTATTTCATTTCATTTAAAGCCACAGGCCTCAATTTCTTTATACGTCCATATACTTTGTGTTTGTAAACTGAGGGCTGGGTCTTGATTGGTTACAGGTACTGGAAGAGTGGAGAGCCTAACAATTATGGCAGTGGAGAGGACTGTGCTGAGAGACGCTTAATTTATTCTAACCCAGAGCAGAACTGGAATGATGCACCATGTGATCAACTGAAGTTAGGGATCTGTGAGAAAGTGGCTTATCCATAACTCAAACTGCATATATATTTTATTTTCTAGATTATATGAACCATTAAGTAATATACTGTATATGCTTTTATTTACAACTCCTGCTTGGACTATTGCATAAAACTATTAGATTATCATTTCAATTATAATTTCAATTAATTATATTTCCCCATTGTTTAAATATATACATACATACATATATATATATATATATATATATATATATATATATATACATATATATATATATATATATATATATATATAAATATATAACTCAATGCCTTATTAGCTTAGTACAACTGCTATTACCCTATCATAACCCAAACATATGTACTTTTTACTTTGTTTTGTTTTCATTTGAGTCTTTTTATATCTTTACTAAAAGTATGGATGTGACTCCTCCATTTGTTTCCAGGTTTCCAAATAAAAGAAGAATACACACCTGTGCACATCTGAATCATTCCACGGTATCACATGCAATGCTTTCTTACAAGTCTAAACTCTTTGAATCAAAACATTATAAAACAACCAGCAAATCCCTTACAGAAGGAGAATGACCCTCCAGTAGAGGAAACAGAGAAGAAGAGAAGGTTTCTCCCGTTCTGTTCCTACATTAGCTTAAATCATAAGTGTGGCTGTAGTGTTAGAAGCGACCGGGGGTGTGGACAGATAATGAAGTGTGGAGCTAAGTAACTGTGGAGTCTCTGCCAAGGCCTAATTACACATTCATCCGCTGGCATATATCACAGTTACAGAATGTCAACAGGCTGCCATGACTCACAGCTGGCACTACAGGGTTTACGGATCAGCCCTGTGAGTGTGTTTATTTGTTTGTGTGTGTGTTTGTGTGTGTATGTGTGAGTGAGTGTGTGCGTGTGTGCGTGCGTGTGTTCTTGGCCTGGGGATATGGCCCCTGAGTTTTGATTATGTACTAGTGGCTATGATACCCAGAGGTGGTAGAGGAAACTGTAGGCTCTGATCTCTGCTATAGAGAGTCATATAATATTTTGAAAGGGGGTGTGGACACAGTGACAGAGCGAGAAAGAGAGAGGGAGAAAGAGAAAGAGGTAGTGAACAAGCGCTAGAGAGAGAGAGACAGAGAGAGAGAGAGAGAGAGAGAGAGAGACAGAGAGACAGAGAGACAGAGAGACAGAGACAGAGACAGAGAGGGAGAGACAGAGAGAGACAGAGAGACAGAGAGACAGAGAGAGTGTTCGTAGCTGCCTCTCCTCATCTGCACCATGTTTCTCATAATTTCATCTGGTTAATTGAACGCTCCAATCATTGTAAAGAGATTATCCTCCTGCAACGTGTCATTTTAGGGTCAGGGGCTACGTCAGGCCAATTTTCTATTTGTCAAATACATAAAGCACTCATCTCATCTCCTTTTATTGGAATTGATCATCTTGTAAAAGCACAGTCCAGATGGCTGATAAGATATATCCCCTTTGTGTGGAAAGAGATATGGAGCTAATATTATGTAGACACATAGATATAGAGGTAATATTATGTAGATAGAGATATTGAGGTAATTTTATGTAGATAGAGATATAGAGCTTATGTTATGTAGATAGAGATATTGAGGTAATTGTCACGTTCGTTGAAGGACGGGACGGACCAAGGCGCAGCGTGATATGCATACATGTTTATTATAACGAATAAACACAACGACAAAACACTTTACTTTATCTGTTTTTTGAAACCAGGTTTGCTGTTTATTTGAGCAATATGAGATGGAACGGAGTTCCATGCAATAATGGCTCTATATAATACTGTACGCTTTCTTGAATTTGTTCTGGATTTGGGGACTGTGAAAAGACCCCTGGTGGCATGTCTGGTGGGGTAAGTGTGTATGTCAGAGCTGTGTGTTGACTATGCAAACAATTTGGGATTTTCAACTCATTAATGTTTTTTTATAAAAAGAAGAAGTGATGCAGTCAGTCTCTCCTCAACTCTTAGCCAAGAGAGACTGGCATGCATAGTATTTATATCAGCCCTCTGATTACAATGAAGAGCAAGACGTGCCGCTCTATTTTGGACCAGCTGCAGCTTAACTAGGTCTTTCCTTGCAGCACTGGACCACACGACTGGACAATAATCAAGATTAGACTAAACTAGAGCCTGCAGAACCCTCTTTATTATGGACATACCTCTCCCCATCTTTACAACCATTGAATCTATATGTTTTGACCATAAGGTAACACTAGTAATTTAGTCTCCTCAACTTGTTCAACAGGCACACCATTCACTACCAGATTCAGCTGAGGTCTAGAACTTAGGGAAGGATTTGTACCAAATACAATGCTCTTAGTTTTAGAGATGTTCAGGACCAGTTTATTAGTGGCCACCCATTCCAAAACAGACTGCAACTCTTTGTTAAGGGTTTCAGTGACTTCATTAGCTGTGGTTGCTGATGCGCATATGGTTGAATCATCAGCATACATGGACACACATGTTTTGTTTAATGCCAGTGGAAGGTCAATTATTGATCCATGTCAGTTTCGTTTGCTGTGCCTTTCAACAAAGTCAATCTAAGGAAATCTGCTGCAACTCTACATTGGCTTTTGACAGTAGTTTACATTTAATAAAACATATTTAACACACCTGTAATTAGATGAACATTCAGCTAAGTTTCCCTCTAGAACATTAGGACCTGCTCCACCAGTGACAGAACGTCAAGAGGTCATCAGACTTCCTCCTAATTAGACCTCACACACACACACACTGAGCTGTCAACTGTGTCTGTCCTTCTAGACCTGTCTGCTGCCTTTGATACTGTGAACCATCAGATCCTCCTCTCCACCCTCTCCGAGCTGGGCATCTCCGGCGCGGCTCACTCCTGGATTGCGTCCTACCTGACCGGTCGCTCCTACCAAGTGGCGTGGCGAGAAGCTGTCTCCGCACCACGTGCTCTCACCACTGGTGTCCCCCAGGGCTCAGTTCTAGGCCCTCTCCTATTCTCCCTATACACCAAGTCACTTGGCTCTGTCATATCCTCACATGGCCTCTCCTATCATTGCTACGCTGACGATACACAACTAATCTTCTCCTTTCCCCCTTCTGATAACCAGGTGGCGAATCGCATCTCTGCATGTCTGGCAGACATATCAGTATGGATGACGGATCACCACCTCAAGCTGAACCCTGGCAAGACGGAGCTGCTCTTCCTCCCGGGGAAGGACTGCCCGTTCCATGATCTCGCCATCACGGTTGACAACTCCATTGTGTCCTCCTCCCAGAGTGCGAAGAGCCTTGGCGTGACCCTGGACAACACCCTGTCGTTCTCCGCTAACATCAAGGCGGTGACCCGATCCTGCAGGTTCATGCTCTACAACATTCGGAGAGTACGACCCTGCCTTACACAGGAAGCGGCACAGGTCCTAATCCAGGCACTTGTCATCTCCCGTCTGGATTACTGCAACTCGCTGTTGGCTGGCCTCCCTGCCTGTGCCATTAAACCCCTACAACTCATCCAGAATGCCGCAGCCCGTCTGGTGTTCAACCTTCCCAAGTTCTCTCACGTCACCCCCCTCCTCTGCACACTCCACTGGCTTCCAGTTGAAGCTCGCATCCGTTACAAGACCATGGTGCTTGCCTATGGAGCAGTGAGGGGAACGGCACCTCCGTACCTTCAGGCTCTGATCAGTCCCTACACCCAGACGAGGGCATTGCGTTCATCCACCTCTGGCCTGCTGGCTCCCCTTCCTCTGCGGAAGCATAGTTCCCGCTCAGCCCAGTCAAAACTGTTCGCTGCTCTGGCACCCCAATGGTGGAACAAGAGCTCCCTCACGACGCCAGGACAGCGGAGTCACTCACCACCTTCCGGAGACATTTGAAACCCCACCTCTTTAAGGAATACCTGGGATAGGATAAAGTAATCCTTCTACCCCCCCCCCCCCCCCCAAAAAAAAAAAAAAATACAAAATTTGTAAAGTGGTTTATCCCACTGGCTATAGGGTTGAATGCACCAATTTGTAAGTCGCTCTGGATAAGAGCGTCTGCCTAAATGACGTACAATGTGCCCTTGAGCAAGGCACTTAACCCAATTGGCTCCTGTAAGTTCGCTCTGGATAAGAGCGTCTGCTAAATGACTAAAATGTAAATGTAAATGTAAATTAGCCTGGGACAGGTAGTCACAGTTAGACAAGGGCCTTGGACGAGTAGGATAAGGGATGGATCCACGTTCGCTGTATCTGAACTTTGATTATATAGTGCATTAACTGAATTTCTGAACAATTTCATGAGTAACTGTGGGATTGCATTATGTGGTGAGTAATGCTCTGATCATTCAAAGTACAAATGCAAAGCAGGGGTTCAAAAAAAAGAAGGCTGTTGGAGAAGAGAGAGCAGAAAGAGGGAATCGAAGAGAGAGAGAGGAGCGAGAGAGACAGAGAGAGGGAGAGAGCGATCTCCTCCTCCGATCCTCTCTCTCAACGGATATATCTCTCTAGGCTCTAGTCTCCTCTATCGCCTATCATCTATCTCTCTAGCTCTATATAGCGCTCTGCTCTGAGCTCTCCGATTAGAGAGATGATCTCTCCTATAGCTTCTCTCATATCTCTCTCTCTATCTCTCTCTCTCTCATCCTCTATCCTGATATCTCTTCTTCTCTCTCTTCTCCTCTCTCTCTCTCTCTCTCTCTCTCTCTCTCTCTCTTCGCGCTCATCTATCTGGGAAGAGCACATAGACTAGATCTGTGCGGACAGGTTCGGGCTGCATGATGTCTGACTGACTGCTCTTTTTGACTTTGTGCGGTCTTGTGTGTGTGTTGTGTGTGCAGTCGAGCGTCTCTCCCTGCCTGGCATCTGAAGGTTTCATCTATGTGGCAGGTCTGTCATATCGCTGTGCCCACCATGCTAGATCAGTGCCAGTCCCTGCCAAGTGGCAGCGCCTGACAAGAGCTTGCCGGCCGACTCCTGTGTGTGTGTGTGTGTGTGTGTAAGGGGGGGTTGTTTGTGTGTGTGTGTGATGCCTCGACACGACAGGAAATATGTTCACACAACTGGCTAGCTGGTGCC